ATACATACATACATACATAAATACGCATATGTATATATGTAAATGTAATATGCATAGGATAAAATATGCAACGAGAAAATTGTTAGAACAATGTGTAAAACGATTTGTCATTGATAAACATTGATTCGAATGCACATTTGACTGACTTATGTGTATTCGTGTTAAATAAAAATTCAAATTAAAATTTTTTTCCTTTCTTTTTTATATATATATATATAAAAAATAAAATAATATAAAAAATTTGTATGGAAGAACAAATATTTTCATATATGTATATATATATATAAAACGTACCTGTGAGAATGAACTTTAAAAGCTCATTATCTATTTTTTGTTTTCTTGTATCAGCTGGTTAAATGACATGTAATTTCATATTCGTTTCGTATGTGGGTTTTCTTTTCAGAGAAAATTTTGTTTCTTTTTTTTTTTTGTTTTGTGTTTTTTTTTTTTCTTCATATATACAACATTACACGTAAGGTACATAACATCACATTGTTCGTTTATAATCAATAGTTTACGATTAATCTTATCTTAGGTTCTTTCATCTGCTTCCTCTTCTTTTTTTTCATCATCATCATCATTATCATCTGCGTTTATATATCTCGTCTATAATTAATTACGTTTATCACGTGATTATTTATTCTATATCTCTTTAACTTTTATACTTTTTTTTTTTTCTTCTTTCCTTTCTTTCTTTCTTTTTTTTCTTCCTTTCTTTACGAAGATGCAAATCGGAGTAAGGAAACACAAAGAGACGAATACCTCGCGAACTTTACGTGTGTTTATGTATTTATATATATATATATATATATATATATATATATATATTTATTATATATATACTTATATGGTATGTATTGTAAGACCGATTAAATTATGCGCGCGCGCGCGCGCGTGCACGTTGTCTAATGCAAAATCGATATTTACATTTGGTGAACAATCATCAAATTCGATTATGTCGATAATCGAAATATTCGTACGTTTCACGCGATCATTATACGCACGAGCACATACACACACACACATACACACATTCATTCATTCATTCATTCATAATGAAGAAATTGTCTTCTATCGTACAAGAGTAAATTCGTAATTACATCTACAATACTAATATATACAACAGATATGTCGACCTTATCGATCATTTCGTGTTACTATTTCATTTTTTTTTTTCCTTTCTCTTTCTTATACAAATAATTAAGATAAAGAGAGGGGAAAGAGAGAGAGAGAGAGAGAAAAAATTAAGATAAAATGGATGCAGAAATAATCTCATCTATTTCATCGAATTTAACGCCGAGATCATCGCCAAGATCGACAATTCGAATTTATCTTTTTTCTATCCTCTTCGATCGAAAACTATAATTCTCTTTTTCATTTTTTTTGTTTTTTTTTTTTTTTGTATTTCTTTTTCTTTCTTTGTTTATATCCTTCTTTATTTCCTTTTATTTATTATTCTTTTTTTAATAATATCGAATAAGAGCCGATATAATGGTATCATTATAAAGTTAGGATCGTTACGGTATCGGATCATCAATTATTTTATCTGTAAATAGAATTTTTACATGAACAAAAAAGTAATTGAGTACAAATAAATACTCGACATTTTCTTGATCATTTTTTTGTAAATAATATTATCGCGAATTGTCTCACGAGAGATATAAATATATAGATATATAAATTAATAAGTTAAAAGCCGTAAAAAAAAAGGAATGTTTCTCATCGTATTATTATTCGTCACACATATTAATTATTATTCTTCGTCAAAAAGGTTCGTTTACCATTTGAAAAATGATAATAATGATTTTAACGAAAATTCACAATATATTCCATATAACAAGAGAGAGAGAAAGAGAGAGAATATAAAAAGTATATTATTCGAAATACAAAATTCGTAGGATAAATAAATATAAATACCTATCTCGTGATTTCGTAGAATCGTTTAAATTCAAAATGGCCGGACAAAAGAGAAAATAAATAACTCGATCGATAAAGTAGATTTCTGCGAATCAATTGGAAAGAAAGAAAACGAGCTTATAAAAAAAAAATACCAAAACAATTTGAATCATCGTCGTCGTTGTCGTTCATGGTGAAAAACCTTATCCGAATAATGTTATCTTTGTTTTTTCTGTATTTATAATATACTTCCCCATTAAAAAATTGTATCCCCGTTAATCGAACGAATGTAAGTTCGAAGAAGCTAATATAATCGTGGCGAGAAAGACGATAAGACGTAGTCATAGTTGTTGGTTGTTTGGTTGTTTAAGACCACCGGACGAGTGTCCCCCGATTCACTAGAATCGGCACGGTTCAGCAAATCGGTTCGGCAAGAGGCTGAGGAGGCCCATAAGGCGAGGCCCACTGGCCCACTGGATGTGCCAATGCTGTTGGTGGTTGTTGCCTGTCCAAACCAGGAACCGTATTACCACCTGGATGACTCGACACTGTTGTTGGGTAAGCTACTTTATTGAGAGCCTCTGCTTGCAGTGACAGCATCAATCGATTAGCTGCTTGTCTCTCCGCTTCCCTTTCTTCCGCTGTTTGTCTCCTGAAAATTAAATCATTACTAACGTCATTTTAAAACGAAATACATTTTATTTCTATTTGTAGGTATATACATATGGTATATATTTAACAAAATGTTTTTAACATATTGAATGTTTTACGCTAACATTGTTTATCTTATAATCAAACAAATACTAGTTTTTCAATTAATTTTTATATAATTATCTAATTTTGTATTATACATAATATTGTTTGTATTTTATTAGAAAAGTATCCTAACGTAGTATGACAAAAAGAATATCCAAAATTAAACGTTTAATGCGTTAGGTGTTTGATATTTTGATAGTGAAATAATTGTCTTGGATAGAATGAATGAAATGATACTATACTATAAATGATATTTATATCATAAATAAAAAGAATTATAATCGTATGATTAAATTTGACAATGGTGTTATATTATTATAATCGTTTGAGATCTTTTTAAGTATTTTGTGTGAGTGTTTTATATATTGGATGAAGTTGAATAGAAAGGATACAAACACGACGAAAAGAGGGGAAAGAGGGGAACGATCGTTGGTTGGTTAGTTGATTCGGCTAACAGGACACAAATGTAATAAAGTTAATTTGATTCGTTGCTACTGTCACTACACGCTCGTCTAGTTTACTCTCGAGGGTTATAACGAGGGTGGTGGTGGTGGTGTCTGTTTTCTAGCATTGGATCTATTAAGAAGCCACAAAATGGCCGGTTTGTTGGTAACTTCGACAGATCCCCTACATACAACACTACTATCAAGTATCTCTAAAGGGAACTTAGAAAAAAAAAGAAACAAATAACCCATCGTGTTTTTCCGTTTAATATATTATAATAAATGATATAAAATATTAAGATTTATTTGATTGGTCACACACACAGTATTTCGAATAAATATAACAATTATTTTATAATAAATATTCGATATACAATAAATGGATCAATGTTAATTCAATACATAAAATATTTCGATATTTTTAAATAAAATAATAATCTAATATATAAAATCAATTCTAATGCAACCCCTATTTGAAATAATGAATTAATTATTATTTATATTAGAACAACAACAACAAATATTAGGGTATATTAATTTATAAAATATTAATTGAAAATGTGTTGAATGATATCGATCATGATATAAATTATGATAATAAAAAGCGTATGCTTGTTAATTTATTATAGATTATTGATTTCAAATACCTGACCGGTTTTATCTGAAATGTTTTACAGTAACCTGCTGCCAAGAGAACAAAATACCAATCCATTTTGGCCAAGCAAGGATCCTTATCGGTAAGATCCGTCCTCCTCTTGTAGTTTCAAGAGAGTTACTGATAAAGGATCGCCAACAATTAAACTCGAAAGTTATCCCGTCCGGTAGGCGCCAGGTAAGAAGATAACGTAGCCAATCAGGGACCGAGTTGTACACGAGCCAAGAGAAAACACAGTCGTTCCATTAGAGTTAATCTCCGGTCTTTGGTAATTAAACGGTTTCGTTGTACCTTTGTTCTTATCCGAAGATGCCGATCCTATTTTCTTTTCTTTTTTTTTTTTACAAACCATATCATCTCTCATTCCCATTTTTTTTCACTTGATATTTCGCATAATCTAATTTAACGTTTGAAAAAACTTTTCCACCGTTAGATTTTCCAAACCTATCTCACCTTTCTTTTCTTTTACTTTTTTTTTTTTTCATCTTCCCGCGTCTTATTAGAGTTTGATAAATATTATTTAATATAACATAAAATAAATAAACTAAAATATTATATGTTATTATTCTTTTTCATATTTTTTTGTTATCGTATATAATTTTAATGCAATTTAAGATTAATTATAGAAAATAAGATTACCATTTTATCTATAATACAAATTAGATGAATATATATAAAGAAATAATTTCAAACAACAACCATATAGAAAACGAAATTTTGTTTACCACACACACACTTCGCATAGAAATTTCATAAATATAATATAATAAATATATAATAATAAATAATAAATATAATTTTAATGTAATTAAAGGTTAATTATAGAAAATAAGATTACCATTTTATCTATAATACAAATTAGATGAATATATATAAAGAAATAATTTCAAAAATAAAACAACCATATAGAAAACGAAATTTATTTTATCACACACACACTTCGCATAGAAATTCGATAAATATAATATCATAGAGAGAACAAAAAAAACCGGGTAATATTTTTCTTGGAATAATTTTCTCTTTTTTTTTTGAAATGATTCAAGTCCCTAAGATTCTTTTTTTTTTTTTCAAAGATTCTTGTTGCGAGATGCGTGCGTTAATCACTAAAGACCGGTGGCTCCTTGTCCTACCTGTCTTCTCGCATATTATAACGTGATTCTACCTAACCCGTGATCACAAATTATCTATCTATCTATCTCTCTCGCTTTTTTAATCCGACCTTTTTTTTTCTTTCTTTTTTTTTTTTTTCCTATAAGTCGTTATGTTTCGTTTCGTTTTTATTTAATATTTCTTTTAGTTCGTCTATACTCTGACACAACACACACTGTCCGTCGCATCCAACTTCCTGTGATCTTTTCCGATTAGTATAGACGAGAAGAAGTAACGAGATCCCCAAATTTCTTTTTCTCTCACGCGATGTCGTAATAATTGACTCTTATTTTCTATATAACGAATTTCTCATTTCGAGAAAGTCAATCCAATCCACTCACTTTTATTATCCTTCTGTTTTTCGAAACATATTCGAATAATATATTTATATATAAATCGAAATGATCATTTTATTGAAATTATTGAAAAAAAAAGATTCGAATAATAATTTATTCGTACAATAAAATATTCTACATTGAAGAACAAAATTTTTGTGTTATTTTTAATCGATATATAATAAGAAGATTAATGATACAAAGAGAAATTCAAGAAATGGCATAGAATACTTAATATATATTCAAAATGATTTGCATCAGGAAATGTAATCATTTTTTAATCGATAAGAATCTATATTAATCTTTCGCGTTGATTCGATTAATGTTCGTTAACGCGAATCATTATCTTATAAATAAATAAATAAATAAATAATATATAATCGAATTTAGAGAAAGAATGAGAGGATGACAGTTCGATATTAAATTTATTTATCGAATCTCATTTAAAATATTAATTAAATATCGACTCGTATAATTGGACACAAAAAAATACAAATAAAAATAAAAATAAATGTCGAACAAATTGATTAAAAAATTGTATATATAACTTATTATTATTATATATATATATTGAAAATTTTTATTAACGCATAACGTATTTCTATTAAACCATAGAGATGGGGTTTTATTATCAAATTGAAGATGAGTTGGGCTATGATTAACGCGAATTAGATCGTAGAGATCGGCAAATCCATTGCGGTTACGCCGTTGCACCAGTGACAGCTAACGCCTACGCCCGTGCAAGTAATTAACGCGGTTAGCAATTAATAATTGAGGGCGCCGTGCCGATTACATTTTGCAGCCCCCAACGTGTGTAGAAATGCCTGAGTGTGTTCAAACACAGAGACACAGACACAGACACTACTAACAAACTCGCCCCATTTGCTCTCATGATAATACAACCGTATTTTCCTGCAACCTGGGACGCATTATTCTCATTGTTACGGAAACATAGTTGAAACGCGATTTTCTCATTTGAAATTTTCACATTGAATAAATTTTCAAAAGTACTTCTTTTTTTTCTATTACTCATTTCTATTAAGTCATATCCAATTGTTATTATTGGTTGTTGTTATTGTTGTTCTTATATTATTATAAGAGATTAAATATGTATTTAGTATAATTTATTATATTATGTTATATTATTATTATGTAATATAGAATTTTAAATAATCATAATTATATTTATTTCAATTATTATAATATCTATATGAAAATTTTTATTTTAGATTTAAAAAGAAGAAGTAATATATTAAAATCATGAAATATATAAAACCAATAATCGTAAAATCCTTACCGACAATATCAAAACTCAGGAGATTAGTAATTTACCTTGGATAATAAAAACGACAGACAATTTGTTGAAATCGAAGAAATATTAAATAAAAACTTACGAACACATCCGCGACATTCGACCGCAAGATTTGTTCGAAAAAAGTATGACGACGAGATCTTTATTCTTTTGTATCTTCTTCTTAAAAAAAAAAACAAGAACAAAATAGAAATAAATCTATTAACGTTCCTTCGTCGATCATGCGTACGATCAACTTCCTTCTCCGTCGGAAATGACGTATTATCTTCTATCTAATGTTATTTACTTTATATTATATAATATCTCGATTAAATAAAAATCAATCTTCTTCCGTTTTGTCAAAAGTATTCGACGACGTGTTTAATTAAAATTTCGATTAATACATATGTAAAACAACACTCACAACGTATAATCAATATCTTTGAACACCACACATCAGGTAGAGATGATAAATAATCTTTTTTTAATACATCACACAGAGATCACAAGCAAAACTGGAATGGAAATCGTTTTGATTTCATCTTGTTTCTTATTCTAAGAATTAATCGTCGTATATACATACAAAACATGTTACATCCTCATATCATATATATGAACTAACACGTGAACAAAGTTTAAGAACTTGTCGTTCTAGTTATGATAACGAGTTGACGAGTATTTAAAAATAAAAAAAATAAAAAAAGGAATAAATAAATATATCTTTTTCGGATAAAGTAGTTTGACTTGTTTGTTAAGTTTGTATCAAAAAGCTTTCATTTAAACAGTGATCGTTTGACGCGCGTTTCGATCGATCGATTGAGAATGATCGATTGGTAACACTAATTTAACTTAGTTACTTTATCTTTATATTTTCTCTTTCTTATTTGTTCTTTTTTTTTCTAATACACATATTGAAAATAATTTTCTTTTCTTTCTATGATTTAATGAATATTCAAAAAATATTTCAGCACAAGGGATGAGTATATGTGTCGTTAAAAAATTATTTAATAAATTATTTAATTAAATATATTAAATGTTTAACTTATATATACAATTGAAAATGTGTATACATAGAGATAATATATTTGTTTTCAATGAAAATTTATATTTCAAATCAATTCTTTTGTAAATAATATCTCGAAACTACGAATAATAATATTTAACTAAGAGATATATTTGATTTTTTATATCGAGAGAGAAGAAACTATACGGAATATTATTACGGTCGATTGTCTTACGATCTCATAAAAAGAAAGAAAAAAAAAAAGAAAAAAAAAGGAAATCATCTATAAAATAATACCGTTATAAATATTATACGATATTACGATCTATAGTTAAAGATCTTTTTATAACCAACTGTGCTGTTATATTATTATCTCGAAACTATTGCTCCGTTTAAATATTGTGAAAATGATCTACTTCTCGATTTATAATAATATATTAACAAACTAAACAAAAACAAAAAAATATATATATATATATACGAAAAAAGGAGCAAATTATTAAGTAGAAAGAAAGAAAAATACTTCTGGTTAAAGATAAAAAAAAAAATCTTTATCTCAAAAAAAAAAAAACTAATCGTATTTATATATCGACTGAATGTGATCGGATAAATTATTCATAGATAATATATATATATATATCTATCTCATATTACATCGAAGAAGTTATAAATCATTTTCCGTGCTCGATCATCATCATCATCATCATCCCAATCGTAAGATGCGTGTGCTTTGGTGGTTTTCCATCGTGGTTTCAATGGATTTTCGCACGAACACTACGTTACATTACACACAGTACAGAAAATAAATTTGAAAACCGGTTATAAAAGAGAAAAAGAAAGATAGAGAAAATACGTGTGTTTCTTTTAACGTAGGCAGATAGTATACGATATCTATAGTATTCAATAGGTAATAGATACCATACATACATACATACATATATATATATATAACCGACAGGAACTTGGGTGATCGTGTTCCTGGAGTAGTTAGAGTAGGCGTGCTAGTATACAGAACTCGATGAATCTTTAAACATAGAGTCGAATCGAAGGTGTACCTAGTGAGTGAAATAGATAGATAGATGGATATAGTAATCGAGTAGGATAGAAATAGATATAAAGAGTAAGAGAAAGTAAGAGAGAAGGAGGGTGGAGGGTGGGTGGGGCAGGAGGGGGTGAGTAATACTAGGAGATATCGAAGTCCGATTTTCAAGCGTCAGGGATTCGAATCGTAGTCGTAGTCGTCGTTTGACAGTTTAAAAGCCAAGAAGTTTGTGTGTGCTGAGAGGGAAGAACCAACCGTCGGCTGTTGTTAGAAAGAGATATTGAAGAAGGGGAATGATAGTGGGAGGATTTGAAGAGAGAGAGAAAGATAGAAGAGGGTGAGTGGGTGGGTGGGTTGGGTTGGGTTTTTGCTGCACCCCTCTTCGAGTTGATGGAGAGACGGGGACGACTAGGTGGTTGGCAGTCAAAGCAGGGGGGTGGTAACGCTTCTACACTACTCCTCTTGCTGATGTTGCTAACACTGATATTGGAAAGTGTTAGTGGTGGTAATAGTAGTAGTAGTAATACTGCTTCTATATTCTCTTCTAGTGTTTTGGTGGTAGTAGTAATACTGGTGGTACTCTGATACTGTTGCTGCTGCTGCTGCTGGTGGTGATGGTGATGGTGGTGATGGTGGTGGTGGTAGATGAGAGAACGCGACGGGAGGGTGCGGACTACATTATGTACGGGACAAGGCTAAGCTGTTAGGTAGCTGAATTATTGAGACCGAGTTATCTCGTCTCTGCCTACAGTCATCTTGTTACTTTAAACGCAGCTGCTGCTCGCCTCCTCGGACTACCACCGAGACTTTGAACTCGATTCGTAACACGGATTCACCACCCTCTTCTGATGGTGGGGGTGGGGGTTGGGGAGGGAGGCACTGGAGAATGGGAGGAATACTTTCATTCTTTTCAAATTCTTTTTTTGTCTTCTTCTTCTTCTTTTAAATAACCAATCTTGTTTCTCTTACCTTTCATATATATAATATCTTAAATATATTTCTTTTCTATTATTTGTATTATTTTTAACACGAATTGACCGTACGAAAAATATATAATTATTAAAACATTTTGAATTATTTCTCGTTAAAAATATCTTCTTATCTCGATGAGAGTTAGTCTTTTCTTGAAGAATTTTATTTACGAACAAGAGTAAAAGAAGAAGAAACAAAAAAGGGCTACACGTATATCTACTCGACAGGTTAATTTTTCCAAAAAAAAAAAGAAGAAAAAGAAATTACTAATTCTTTCAAATACGTTGTCTCATTTTTTGTTATCATTCGAATTTCTCATCATCCTGTTTTATCGTACATACAGTTACACACACACGTATAAGCTTTTCGTAGAAGAGGTGAGAGGGTTGAGAGGGGGGGAGTTGGGAGGTCCAAAATGAGGTAGAAAGATCGGCATATACGAGTTTTAGAAATTCTCTGCCAGTTGGCAGGTGAGTTGTGGAAGAAAGGAGTGTAAAGAATAAGAAGTGATGCTGGTTCTGATGGTGATGGTGATGGTTCTGATGGTGATAGTGATGGTAGAGAATGTCGCCTTGCTCGTCTCGCCGTCGAGACGCCCCTGAGTTGTATTATCGAAAAACCGCGCCACGAACGGGGCCCCTTTTATCTAAATGACGTGTTTTCGTCCTTCCTTATCTTGAAGAGACTCCATACAGTTCGACTCCCAATGTACTCTTGTGAAAAGTATATATATATATATATATATATATATATATATATATATATATGTATGTATATATGTATGTATTTAAAAAAAAAAAAAGAGAAATGTAGATCTACCATTTCTTTCTCGCTTGAAATAAAACCGTTCGTTTTCGGTTGCTATTAAAATTCCTATAAAGATGGCACATCAAAGGGAAACACGGTTATTCCTTTTCTCAATTCTAACATTTCCATCGATATTTTATTTTATTCTTCTTTCGAATTTGACTAATGTAAAGTTAGTTATATTCAATTGTTTTATATTATATTAATATGTATTAATATTTTATCAAATGTTTTATTTATGATTACACGATCAGATTAATCGATACTATATTTATTTGTTTTACTTTAATGGATAATATAAATTTAATCGTGAAAAAAAAAATAATAATTTTTGGATTTATGTAAATAACGATATTGTTTTTGATTTAATTTAGATTTACAGAAAGTTGTTTTAATAATTATAAATATATGTTAAACAATACTAAACATACATACTTTCAATCAAATACTTGTATAAAAATCAATGTTTAATATTTGATTAATTTTAATATACATATACATATATATATATTCATTTATTGTTTTTAATAAAAATCGTTGTATTGTTTTCGTTGATAAGTAATGAAAAATAAAATGAAATGGTTGGAAAGATGTATGTAATGTTCAGGGATAGTGTATAAAATCGAATAAAAAGAAAAACAAAATGTATCTCACACACTGTGATGTAATAATAAATATATATAAAATAAAATTCAGAAAGAGAGAGAGAGAGAGAGGAACGTACCTCCATTTCGTCCGCCTATTTTGGAACCACGTTTTAACTTGAGCATCCGTCATCTTCAAGGACTTGGCTAATGCTGCTCTTTCAGCTGACGCGAGATACTTCTGTTTATGAAAACGTTTCTCCAATTCAGCGATCTGTATCCTTGTGAAGCTCGTTCTTGGTTTCTTTCTCTTTGGCGGGGTCCTGTTTTGATAGGGATGACCGATTCTTCTTGGAAATGCTCCAGCTACTGCTTTCGATGCAACAGAAATAAAAAAAAAAAAGAACATCGATAAGAACCCTTAAAGTGTTGTTTGTCTTTACATTGCATTTAGTTTTACGTATATTCATTAAAATAGAAATAAAATCTGAAAATTGAATCGAACAGTTCAATTCATTTATTTATTTTCTTAGAAACTAATCATTTTTTTTGAAAAATTAATTCAATGTTATTTCGTATGATATATAAAATATATCATATACTAAAAAGAAAATTAATTTCAATTAAATTCAAAATNTTATATTAATTTATAATATTCTATATTACTTCTATAAAAATGTATTTTTTTTTTTTTTAATAATTTTTGTATTAACAATCAAACGTGTTCGTTAATATATCATTTATTTCATTGGAAACAAAATCTTTTTCTTCTATTTAAATTTTATTATTAATTATAATTATATCTTATAAGAGAATATGAAATATCAATAATCGTAAACGATTATTATCAAGATACGTTCAAGTACGTGGAATCTGACATATTATATGTATTATATTTGCTAACAGGTGTACGCTTGATTTGCCGTAAATACATTAATAAAATAACCGTTAATCCGATATCGTTTGCACCAGTTCCATTACGCTATGGTAACATAAGAAATCGTTATAAAATGTACACAAGCAGGAATATCGAAAATAAAGTTTTTCTTTTATTTTTCTTTTTTCTTTTTTATCAGTGCACTTACATGGGAAAGTAACCGTGTAAATTGCAAGTAAGAAAACTCGTTTTGCTTACTCGTTATCGAAATGCCACCTATCCGAGGTAATTATCGCACGCACTATTATATCGAATATAGCCAATATATTATATGCATCAACTATGTATGATATCAGTTCCGCTTAGCACGAGATCCTGTTTATCTTCCTCTTTAAATAGTCCATCGAGTTAGTTAACAAAAAAAAGATACATATATATATATATATTTAATCTCGTTACACGAAGAGCACCAATTGCGAATAAATCCTTTGCGATTGAACCTATACGTATTTTTTTTTTTTTTATATTTCATATGATATGATTTATTTTTGAATTTTATTTTGTTTCTTTATTTTCTTATTGCTTTCCTTACTTTTGCTCTGTTCAAACAGTCTATCGATAAATCGATATCTAAACTATTAACGATTATTATAATACATTTTGGGTTTGAATAAATGAATAATACTTATTTGATTATATTTAAATATATCATATGTGTGTCTCATATAAATGTTATAATTATTAAATGAGATTGGTTATTAAATTGTATATACATAAAAAAAAATGAACAAGAAATGAGACAAATTATTTTTATTATTTATATTTTATAAATTTGTGTGACTATTGTTTCATATATATATGTGTGTATTTAATTATTGTATTAAGTTAGGAAAATATTGAACTTAACAAGTAAAGCATAGATGGATAGATGGATAGATATAGATAAAGATAAAGATAGAATAAAATATTCCGCAAAGGCTACGAAACCGCAAGAGTTAAGCCATCCGTTGAGTTCGAGTAGCACCTGACAATCATCGTCAGTAGTATCTTTAGTCACGTATTTACGAGGACAAAGATGTTCTTCACGAAGAGAACGATTTTGCGGTGGCCTTCCATGGTCTATTATTTTCTTTCTTCTTTCTGTTATGGTATCTCCGTCGAGTGTGCGATACTCGGATCTTTTTATTTTAAATCTCTACGAATATAAAACGAGAAAACTTGAAATAAAAATCGTTTTTCATTTTTTATTTTTTTTTCTTCTTCTTCTTCTACGGATTTATGCGTTACGTTAAACGGAAAATTTTTCTATTTTTTTAAACGCGACAAATTTTCTTATTCAACGCGTACGCGTATTGTTTCTTCTTCTTTGTTTTTTTCTATACAAATTCAAATTAAATATAATAATATTCCCCCCGCCTCCCCCCCCTCCTTAGATGTCAATGTTAATTAAATTATTTTGATTTTTTATACTCGCGAATATAAAATAAGATGAAATTCTTTTTTGTATTACAACATTATTTCTACAACGTAAGAATATTTTGATGTGCATAACAAAATATTCACAATGAAATAATATTTAAAAATGTTTATCTTTCTAATATATCATTAGAAAATTATTTCTTGCAATTAGAGATCTCAATTAAACGAAACGAAACTTATTAAAAGATGACGTTAACGTTAATCGTACGTAAAAAAAAAAAAAACAAAAAATATACTACTATGTCTATTTGTACTAATCAATTCGATTAGGAGGTAGGTGTTCGATATAGAAGTCAGATACTCGAATTAATACTTGAATACAAATAATGAGAAATTATCGTGTTAAGAATTTTCTAATAACACCCATGTGTGTGCCGAGATTATCCATTGAGAATATTTGATTTTATTTTGTCAATTTGATTTTAAATATCATTGCGTGACTCGAAGTAATATTAACTTCTCTATTAAAGTTCGAACAATATCTTTTTTTTTTTTCCCCCATAGAAAACGATTTTATATATACATATCTTTTTTTTTTTTTTTATTGACATATACATGCATAAATGTACTCACCTCATTATCGAGATCATTAAACAGCTTATCTTCGATAAGTGGTAATGGTACGCGAATGTTCGAATTTACTCACATTTAATTCTGATACAGATATACGTAACTATTCTTAATAATTAAACGATCATAATTGTACATCGTATCAATGTATAATTTTAACCCGTCTTAACGCAATATTTAAAATATTAACAAATTATTATATTAAAATAACACAACACACAAATATATATTGATTACAATATTTTATAAAATATTATATAATCAAAAACTATTTTTTTTTTTTAAATAATTTATAAATTGATGAAACAAAATCTCGAGTATGTGATCAATAACCAATCTTGATATCAATTAAAAAATACTAACATATTATTATAATTAATTATATAGAATAATATTGAAAAGTATTAAAAAAAATCGATCATATATAAAAATGAACAAAAGTATAGATAATAAAAAATATGTAAAAATAAAAGTATTGTACTTAAGTATACTGATCGAGTAACGACCTTCCTTGAAATCGTTGAATACAAAGAATCATTTAGTTGAACTTATATTTTAAGATACCTTTTATCTCTTTTCAACTCATACGTTTAATACGAGTACTCGATAAAAAGGAAATATATTTTCCTTCGGCACGAAGTCTCTCATTACTTCGATACTATTTTTTTTTTTCTTCTTTTTCTTTTTTGATCATCACGATCTTCTCGATCGCGTGCATCGAGTACCTTTTACAGCTTCACATAGTTGAACACTTCTAACCATAAGAGAGAAGTTACTATACGAAGATACGAATGTGTCTCCTCTTGAGACCGTTCAAATATGCTTCGTTATATGATACTTATATGTACACGTATAAAGTAAAACATATATATATATACAATATATATATATATATATATATATATATATATATATATACACACACATACACGATAACGACTTGCTCCAAAGCCAAAGTCACTTAGGCATGGGGGACAAGTTTCAGGTTCGNGCTTCGTTATATGATACTTATATGTACACGTATAAAGTAAAACATATATATATATACAATATATATATATATATATATATATATATATATATATACTAGTATTACTACAACTTTGTTAAGTAGGTACATATATTTCAAGATAGGCACGAGAAATAGACGATGTCTTTTCCAAAGAGTTCAGACTGGTCTAGACACTTTATGGGATACCATGATAAAATAATCTTTACAATATCGAAGATATTCATTTTGAAAAACGTTCATTTGCCGAAACTTTTCAAAGTAATGGCAAAGTAGGAAAAATTTGCAGCATCGCATTATTTGCCATTTTATGAACTTTTGCAAATTGATTTATAACTCGATATGATAGTCTACGCGTTGACAAAAGAGTGTACTTTAATTTAATATAAAAATCATTAAAATCTATTGATTGTTAATAAAAAAAAAATTTATTGAAACTTTTTAAAGAATTGGCAAAGTAGAAAAAATTTACAGCATTGCATTATCTGACATTTTCTAAACTTTTGCAAATCGATTTATGACACGAAATGATATTCTACGTATAGACAAAAGAATGTACTTTAATTTAATATAAGTTTCATTAAAATCTATTAACTCTTAGTATAAAAAATATTAACGAAAACTTTTCAAAGAAATAGCAAAGATGCACAATTTACAGCATTGCAATCTCTGTGTGATATTATTAATAAATAATAAACCGTAAATAATATATACGATAAATAGATTTTCCAAAGTGACAATATAAATCGAATTCTCATTTTACTATTTCAATTTTACCATCTATTTCTAATCAATACACACATACACACACACATATATATATACCGATATAACACGTTTCTCGTATACTATTCTCGTATATTCGTCAATTTCTCTTCTTCAAACACCATTAACTGTCTCGCTTATGACCGATTATTTTCGTATGATCGACGTCGATATAGATCTGTGTATTCAAGCAAGCAGGTGGGATAATGGAAATGCAATTTCGAGATTAACAAGACCGATAACGAGCAACGTAAAGAAAGAAAGAGAGGCTGAGAAAAGCTGGTACGATGCTGAAAATTTCTTGGAAAATTAAATTTGACGCATAACAACTCCGCCTCCACCTCCACCTTCACCCCCTCCTCCTCCTCCTACTTTTCTTCCACCTCTTGTTCTACCTCTTTCTCCCTCCCACCCTGTTTTTCTCGTTCCACCCCCTCTACCAAGTTTCTTTGCAACTTTTAACCGTAACCACCAACAGGAATCATCGTTAAAGGGTAAACGGCCATCGGATGGATATTACCCTCCCCCCTCCTCGAATTATTCGAGCCCTCTTTCAATCACCCCCTTGACACCGTTCACCCTTCCTTCTTTACCCTTCATCCCTCCCCCCACCCTCCTGTAATATTTGATACCGGGTTTCCTCTCCCGACAATTTCCAGAAATAAATCC